CAGTTTAGGCATTAAAGTGTAACCAAAATGATTTTGAATATGACGTGTAACAATAATATTTTTTCAACATGATGTGTAATAACAGTATTGTTTTTCAACATCAGGTGTAACAATATTTTTTTTAACCATAATGTGTAACATATTTTTGTACATGACGTGTAATAATAATATTTTTTTAACATGATGTATAACAACCTAATCATAACGTGTAACATAATTGTACATGGCATGTAACAACTTAACCATAGCGTGTCACACGTTTTTATACATGACGTGTAATAACCTAATCATGGCATATAACATGTTTTTGTACATGGCGTGTCACACGTTTTTGTACATAACGTGTAACAATCTACCATGACATGTAACATGTTTCTGTACACGGTGTGTAACATCCTGACATGTAATTTCATTAAGGATAATTTTGTTCAATTTGACTAAAAATAGTTAAAATTATAAAAGAGGTTATTTTTGAAAACATCTTATTTTGAAGGATTATTTTTTAAAATGCTCATATTATATTAATAATATAATAAAAAATTATTTTAAGGCTCATTAAAAAATATACGTATTATATAAAAATTTTTAAAATTTTTGAAAGGCCACAAGAGACCCTCCACTCCTCGTTATGGTAGTTTAATGTTAGTAAAATCACCTTATAAAAAAAAAGGAAGAAAAGTCGATTGCTTGGCTACTTATGTAAGAAATTTCAATGTTTGTACAAAGGCAAAATATATGTTCATGCCGTCAACCTTGAATTTTTCAATCCTTAAATTTCAATGATGAACACCAGGAGAAAGACCATCGTTTGTTTTGCGACTCAAATTCAGTGAATTGTCACCTAAAAAAGAAATGGATATAAAAAGTTAGAGAGCATATATGTAATTAATTTACCAGATTAAGTTAGAAGATTCTTAAAATTTATTAATCGAAAAATTAAAAGTAGATCAACTTACCTTGACCTTATGCTTAATCACATGAATGAGTCTTCTATTCATAAAGCATTTAATAGGCATCAATCCACCATAGTGAAGCAGAAATGAAATCCCAGGAGCCAATCCATAAAGATGAACGCAGGACCCTAACCCAGATCCATCCTTCACCCCATAAAACATTTAAATATTAGAAGTGAAATTTTATTCATGAAATGGTAGACACACACGACTAGAAGTTATGGACTAGCTTATTCATTAGCCAGTAAATGCTTATTAATCTCTAGCAATGACTAAGCCTGAGGGTTCCTAATGTTCACTTTTAAAAAAAATTTTGAAAAATAATTTTATTGAACCTCAATACCGGAATGCCATGTCAAGTCTCATGCTTGATTGGCCAAAAACTGCCATAGCATTAGAAGCCAGTTTGAGTAAGAAAACCTATACAACTACAGGCATTTTTCTGGAATTAACGTGGCTAAATCGATCTATTGGATAAACTTAAACATAACATAATCCTCAATCACAGAAAGTTAAGCACCACAAGAAAAAGGTATTTTATTCCAGAAATGATAGGCACAAACAGTAGAACTAGCAACTAAATCCTGTATTCTTCCAGAGTTTTTTTTTTTTTTTTGAAAGGTAATTCATTATCATTCAATCAAGAAAGGAAGGAATATTTTTTTCTTCCAGAGTTGATCCTTCAGAAAATAAGAGAATGGCAATTACTTCTTATGCTGAAGTAATCATAATAATCTTTTCTTTTCTTTTTTCTTGTTTAGAGAACAGAATGTAGGGTACATTGTTAATGCAATACCAATCAAAACTGGAGCAACATCATAAAGCCAATAGACTATATCACCTAAGTACCTACAACTGAAGGATATATTTAACCTTAAAAATTGTCAGGATTCAAATTAAGGTAGCAATTTACAAATAGGGACATATCATGGGTTTCATACTTTGCAAAGGATGTAAATTTTTTACAAAATTTATAATTAATTATATGCTATTGTTACTTGGATTTAAAACAGTATTCATATGCCTGTTGCTCTTTTATCCCTTCTGTATGCTCTATTCAAACCCATAAATCTTAGCAAATTCCTTCTTTTTGCATTTATTTTGAGGGACTGTTCGGCCTTGTCCCTCTCTTGGCATTAGGCAAGCCGCCTCTAAATTGGAATGTAATTGGATGTATCCCTTTTTGAGATGGCTTAGAATTCATGATGAATTTATGCTTACAATACTCAAAAACGAAATTAAGGTTTAATTTGTCATTAAATGATGATTCGATGTTGAATTCTACTTCGTCCTCCAATTTCATTGATTTTGTTAATGTATTTTTCAATTTCCTTGATCGTTGAACAATGAAATTTGACATTGCATTAATAGAATATTCTTTAATATTTAATTTCATTATTATTTTTATTAAATATTAACAAAATAAAAAATATAGCGAACAAATTCAATAAAATTGAAGTGCAATGACATTAATCATAATGTAGTTGCAAATTTGATATTAATCCTTGACGATTTATGCATTTTTGTTCTCTTATTTATTTCATTATTATCTTCATATCTAAGATTTTTATCCATCTTATTAAGCATTAAAATCCTAATTGAATTCTCATTGCTCTAAGGAATTCAAAGTTTATGGACCTCACTATATATTTCATCATATATATATATATATTTGAAAATGATGATTTAAGAATTCAAAGTTTATGGACCTCAGAATATGTATTGTCAAATATAAATATGAAAACGATGGCTAAATAGAGAATTATATGTAGATTGAAAGTCAATGAACTTTAACTTGGATCCATATTATTTAAATCCGACCAGATATCAGGTAATTAAGTAAAAGTTCCACGGAATTAATTTGATAAGCTATTCTTTGGCCCAATTATGGGAAATTCTCTATGGTTTAAAACTGTGTTGGGACCAGGATCAGAGCAAAATTTCAGTGGAGACTGATTCAAAGGCGGCCATTAAGAAGATTGTTAACTCAAGATTTCTTTTTTTATTTTTTTTAATAATTGGAGAAAGAGGGATTTGAACTCTGTTTTTTAGACAAGAAATTTATGTACCAATCAATGAATCAAAAGCTTGGGTGCGATTGCTAATTCAAGATTATGTCTGTTTCCTGCAAACAGGTATGGGATTTGGACAAGCTCTGTACAAAGCAAAAGAGATAATGGATGCTATCAAAGCAAAATTGGGAGCATATGCTGGAATTATATGTAAAAAAGCTAGCAGGACTAGCCAATTGAAGGAGCTTCGCTTATGGTTTGATAGGGCAAAGCCACCTTTCGTCCTTGGACACTGCCTCCACAAAATATTCTAATGCTTGTTCAAGTGACAATGACCAAATAAAGAACGCATTACCTGCGCCTAATTATACTGTTGGTTAAAAAATAAGCCCAATGTATTGGATTTGAAATGCGTTGGAAGATCATTACACACCAAAATAGATATCAAAGTGGTGTGGAGATATCTCAAAACCACCAGTCAATGTCGAAGGCCAGCAACAAGTTAATGTGGATATACGCTGCAATCACTCCTAGTCCTAGTGCGGTAATCCCATTGGAGAGGTTTCAATTAGTGCCGTTAAACAGGATTTTGCTTCAAAATGATTTGAAGTTGTTGTAAAATAGTGCTCGAGACATAATTCGAATATTGGCACTTTTAATTTAAATATTCTTCCAAATTGCAATTATTTTTTATGTATAGGAAGATTCAACTCTGGTTGTGGTGGAATGATTCGGTTTATTCCTTCAACTCTTGAGTTGGG